AAGAGCTGCGGGCTCTCTCGGAGGAAGAACTCGCCGCCTTTCCAATCAAAGTTTTTGAAGGGGACGCATCGCAAATTTCTGAGGCGCGGAAAAAGGAAGGCCGGGTGGCTTGAAGGCGAATTATTCAGTCGACATTTGTGGAGGTAGGTTTCGAAGGCTCGGAAGAAGTTGGGTGCGAAGATTGGAATGACTGGTGTTATGCAGTCGCTATCTGCTGCTCCGTGGACACGCATCTGGCGAATGCGAGAGGTGTAGTAAAACAACCGTGCCACATCCTCAGGCCGTGGCTGGCGCGAAAATCCCTACAAAAGCGGGTCCGTCAGAGTCGCCGACCATCAATTGTTCGTCTACGTACATATTCAAACGGTGCACCCCCGTCTCCTGCACGTCGAAGCACTCCACTGACGACCCATATGTTCAATACATGAGACATATCTCGCACTAGTCTCCATCCTTCATCTAAGGCGCATTCAATAAAGCTACGACAGGTCCGGGCGAGTTTGCGGCACTCATATCCTGGGAGCAGGCCAAAAATTATGGATAGCAGTTCAGGGAGAAAGAGCACCCGCTGATAGGTGTTCAAAGTTTGGCCGGCCTTTGCAAAGTTGGAGTTTAGCTTGGCAAATTCGTACGAAAAATGGGGGAGTCTCACCGGTCGTTGAGCTAAGATTCTGCTGGGCATAGTACGAGGATTGGTGAACTTGGGGAGGCAGTCTGAGCGACCCTGCAAGGGCTTGTTTGTTCGGGGAGCGTACGGGGTTCGCCACCTCGTGGCGCGTTCCAGGATTTTATCGCACCGCGCGTACGAACAAAGTTCTAGCATCAGCAGAAGTGATAAAGGTGGGCGATTGACACCAGCATTGACGCGTCAGCATTGGTGCATCCACGTTGCACTGTTGTGCAGTGTGCGTTCTATCCCTGTGCGCGGTCGCGCATTCGACCCCGCCACGCGGCGCCCGGGCCCATTCCCCCAAAGCTTCGAGTGGTCCAGTAACATTTAGATACTTAATAGACACAATATATTCTAGATAAGCATCACAGGAAGGCAACGAAAACCCCCTCTTCCTCGTGGGCATAGCCTTCGGCCACTGTTTTGGTGCTATATAGTTTTGGGTGTACCCCCTTTCAACGCACCCTTTGTAGCTCAGCTGGAAGAGCGTGGGACTGTAATGGGCATCACGTGATCATCCCAAGGCCATCGGTTCGATCCCGATCGAAGGGAAATGCTTTTTGCTTTTCTGTTTCTTTTTTTTTTGGGGTGGTGGGCGGGTCTCGAATGGGCGGGGACAGTCGATCGACCGAAGTTTTATCGGAGTGCCACCGCCACCATTCCCACGTCCGCGACACGTACATGACAACTCTGCTCGTATACATACGCTCGTTTCATCGCCTGCTTTTGTTTTATAACTGGGCTGGGCGATGGTTGTCCTTGGTCTCGCACAACCTCCTCGCGATCTACCTTCCACGGATACATTGATTCCGCAACGACGTCCAAAGCCCCTCCATCTGAAGATTGTCCAGAGACCTTTTGACACAGAATCACCATGCATTCGAATGTCTATGCAATCAGCACTTGGCAGATGCAGGCGTAAAGGTCAAAGACTCAACACGGAGCCCACCGGCCAAACTCGGCGGCTACATTCGTCGTTCATGCTAAGGAGCTGCAACCCTTCACCATCTAAAAAACTGGCATCATAGATCCCCAACAGAAGGAGGTTTTCACGCGACGCGACTTCACGATGCTGTTGGGGAGGCCCCCGCGAATTATGCCATCGGTTCGATCCCGATCGAAGCGGAATCCTTTTTGCTTTCTGTTTCTTCGGGCTCTATGCCATCGGTTCGATCCCAATCGAAGGGAAATGCTTTTTGCTTTCTGTTTCTTTTTTGGGGGGGGGGGGGCCGCTGTCTCGAACCGGGTGAGGGCGGCGATCCACCGCAGTTTTATCGGAGTGCCACCGCCACCATTCCCACGTCCGCGGCACGTACATGACAGCTCTGCTCGTATAAAAATGCTCTTTTCATCGTCTGGTTTTGTTTTATAAACGCCGGTTGGTTTACTCTTCACTCAAAGGAACAGGTTAACCAACTTATATGTGAGGCCTCCCAAATCGCCCTAGAGGGTCATAGGATTATTCCTTTGCGGTATTTCCAATAGTGAGCTGACATGGCGATTCCCAGCCAGTGTGAGTGACGTTACAGAACCGTGCGGCGTTAGGACAACATCAGTCATATTCGATATCAATGAGTCTCTTTGAGCGATGGGTCTATTCGAATTCGGCGGACCGCTTCCTGCATGGAGATCCTATCAACGGGGTTTTTGGGCCAGCAAGCAGAGGCGACATCCCAAATATTATCGTAAGATACCCCACTTGAAGACCTACTGGGCTCCCTTAAAGGTCGTGCATCCTTCCACATGACGGCCTGCATGACGGCCCAGTCATTTTGGCAGTTCGCAAAGGGGATCTTTCCCGTCAGGACCTGTTGCATTCAATAACTTAGTCTCACCGAAGGCACTCGAAGATAGGTTAACAACAAACCTCCGCGACGGTCATGCCAAAAGCATAGACATCAGACTCAGGGGTCTTAGGGCTATCATTCCATAATTCCGGGCTCTGCCAGCGTAATGTCCCAGCACCTCTCATTGTTGTAGATGTTTTAGAATCGATCGATTTTGTGAGGCCGAAATCACAAAGCATGGAACGTCCGTTGTCGCCGACTAAAATGTTGTTGGCTTTGAGGTCACCATGCACAATCCCTTCTTTGTGCAGGTACTGTACGGCGTCGGCTGTATCGCATAGCTTTAGGGTCAAATACCCGTATTAGTCACTAACAGGACGCTCGTGAAGGACGAAAGGCAGACCATTTGAATACGGTTGACACTTGGATATCGCACGATATATTCAAGCAAGGTGCCACCTTCTATGAAGGGGCTTACGAAGTAGATGTGGCCGTCACGTTTGAATGTTCCCAGAAATTTCAGGACATGGGGGTGTTGCAGCCTTCGCCATGTTGCAGCTTCCCGCTCGAACCTCTAAACAGCCTCATCGATTCAGTCGGTTCCAGGAAAGTAGCCCCATGCCGAAGGAGACGCACTCTAAGGACGGTGTCATTATAGCCTGTCGCATCGATCCTTGGTCTTTTGAGGGCGACTCTACCAGCTTCCGTGTGGACACCTTCGAACAGATCGCAAAAATGGCCAGTGATCTTGATGGGTAAAGGTGATATCCGACTGATGCCTAACCCGACGTCACCGTCAAAAATCATTGCGTCTCAAAAGGTGAAAACGCCAGGTGTGAGAACCTGGTATTGAAGGACAACGTATTGAATGCTCCTTACCAACGGCTGAGACGAGTGGCTCCGTTAGACAGGTAGACTGAGGTGGTGAGATCGCAGAGATTAAGTTAGCCGCGTCACGTGGTGTTCGAGACCCGGCATCGTTATGGCGATACTTGGGCTTCTTGGGTTTGCTTGGGCCAGGAACGTCATCCAGAGGAGCTGACGCAGATGGAAGGAACTGATTTTTTTTTCCTGTTGCTCTCTTCTTCCTCTTCCTAGTAGCAGGGGTTGGGTCATCCAACCTACGCGGGTGTCGGTCACCCGGGGTTTGGGAAAGTGGCCCGGATGAGGGCAGTAATCCAGCTTTTGATTCCTTTGCCTTGAGTAGAAAGTTGGAGTCACATTTCCCCAGTGCCGCTGTGGTCATTTGTCCGACCATACCAAGGAGATCGCCTTCAGTCTCTGCCCCGTCTTCAAAGGTTGTCAGAATTGCATCGGCAGGTTGAGTGTAAATCCAGTGGACGTACATTGAAGAATGCCTCCAGCGGTTTGAGTGTGGATTCCAGTTGGTGTGGTAATAGTGATGATATTCGTCATGTCGTCTCCTTCACTGCATTCAATGTAGTAGCCTTGAGGGAGGAAGAAGCTGAATCCCTTGACGAGCAAACGATGACCGCTAAACAATGTCGAAACCCTTTTGATGAGACTTAGAGTGTCGATCCTATGCATGAAAGGACAAACTACTCAGAGGCAGGAAGGAGGGGGGCGAGCGAAACGCCACTCACGTCTGGTTCTTGAAATCATTCATGATGTCCAGGAACTTGGTATACACGTCCGGCTGTTCGTGAAAATTTATCTTGACCATTTCCAAGTATATCAATCCGTATTTAGTATTTAACATGCGATAGGCTTCAGATAGAGAAGCAATTTCGGATTCGGGTTCGGGGGCGGGGCTGGAAGGGTCTGAGTGCAAAGTCTCTCCATCGGGTATCGACTCTGTAGTAGGGGGTCCTAGGACGGCGGGATTTCCTGGCCAAGCAACTAGTGCCGTCACAGGCGATGGCTGAATGCACAGAGCTTGTTGAGGTGCCAAAGCTGGCACTAGAACCAGACTGGGGTTTAAGTTCCGTGCTGGGGCCGGGGGATGAGCATCCTTGTTTGACCTCCTGATAAAGAGAATATCGGCTTCTTGTAGAGTGCAGTGGTAGGTAGAGCCAGGCGTACAGCATTAAACACGGTTTCTAGATGGCAATGCGCTGTGGTGCTGGAGACCTAAAGGTGATACCTTTCTTATCAAACCACCAATCAGGGGAGCTCAGCTGACGTAACGAAAAAAGCATTTTGATCTCGGCCAGGGTTAGAGAGCGCTTAGAGGCGGACTCACTTCTCGGGTTTGTGGACTAATAGAATAAAGAACGTGACGCGCCAGGGCTCGTTACGCCTACTGGTGCCTGGACGTTCGTGCTGAGACCTGACCCTCAATAACTCTCGAATGAGTCAAATATGTTATGTATCCGATAGTGCCTTTGTGGTATTGTAATAGCTAGAGAGGCTCACCGTTAGGTGTGCAAGAACGCAGGAAAATGTGAAGACCTAGGTGCCAAAGCTAGTTGAACCTCCTTTGCTCTTTACTGACAATGCGATTTAAACTGGGTTCCTTGGAGAGCACTGGGGAAAACGGGGCCGAGTGAGGGAAGAGACGGGTGGTTGTGCAAGCGAACCCCCCGGCCATGAGGGGAACACGTGGTGGAAGACTTGCTTTGTGCCCAAAAGCGGTCAACACACCAGAATTCCGGGCGATATGTCAAGTCCTTCTGCCCGGGCCAAAGGCTTCTCTCATGATACGATAAGTGGACCTGATTCTATGGGATATACAGGGGAGTTCCTACACTGCGTCCCGGTGTCAGCTGGAGGCAAAGCAAAACAATCGGACGGTTTCCGTTGCCCATGGTAAGCTTACCTGAACCCTCTCTTTACAAATGACATCAATCTTCATTTTTACACAGGTCAATTTTCTGCCTTTTCACTGAGAATTGCGTCGCCGGTTCTCCAACTTGGCTTTTCATGCTATTATATGAGGATCCCCGGATATGGTACATTGAGTACTCTAGTCACGAGTGGGTTGGGCGATCGTTTGTCCTTGGTCTCGCACAACTTCCTCGTGATCAACGGCTACCCTCCACGGATACATTGATTCCGCAACGGCGTCCAAAGTCCCTCCATCTGAAGATTCTCAAGGGTTTCGAGGGACCTTTTGACATAGAATCATCATGCATTTGAATCTCCATACGATCTGGGAGGCGTAAAGGTCCAACACGGAGCCCACCGGCCAAACTCGGGGGCCACATTCGTCGTTCGTGCTAACGAGGCTGCAACTCTTCACCATCTACAAAAATGGTATCACCGACCCCCCAATAGATGGAGCTCTTCATGCGACACGGCTTCACGATGCTGTCGGGGAGGCCCTCCGCGAATTCGGGCTGTGCGGTTGGCTCTGAAGACGGCTTCTCAGCACGAGGGAAACACTGGATAACTACTTTTGAATGGGAAAGACGACATCAAAGTAATAATATGATCATATGCACAACTACCAGGAGGCCCTTGCGTGCGATACACATGTTTTAGACCAGGTGTCCGGTTGCGAAGAGGGTCTTTGTCGAGTAAGTGGGCCGGGGACCACAGGATTCCCCGGTGTGATCAAGTTCAACGTGACAACAGACAAGGTAGTACGATACGGAGAGCTCCTCAAGTGACCGAAAAACACGGAAGCCGAACGAAGAACAACCTATCAGGTCGTCTCTGCCTCTGATCCGTGAACCGTGCCCCAAGGGAAAAAGCCACTGGCGAGAGGAACGGCGTCGTGTGATGTGCCCGTAGCTGGCTATCCCCTAGTTCAAATAAGCGCTCTCGGATCGATCTTGACCGGCATTTGGCGATGTTTGCGGA